TATAGCCTAACATAATGGACCATATGACTTTTACGTTTCTGTGACAACAGGTTTACAAACACTTATTATTGGAAATCTAGTGAAATGTTGTAATCAACTGTTCACAAAAATCTTGGAAAGTGTGTGAATGTGAAAATAAACTATAACTAGTGCACATAATGCACATTAAACTCAAAGGGCATGCAGAGATGGAGTTTGCTGCATTTACAGTGAAAATTTTACATGTGTAAATAGCAGTTCTTGAGCTGTTCACGTGTAAATGAACACAATGCCTCGCATCACACTGAAACACAGTGCAACAGTCTATACACTTAATTAAATTGCAGCATTTTGTATTTAATATGCACACTAAGCCATATCACAATTTTGATTTTAGTTTGATTGACATGCTTTGCCAAAGCTATGATGCAAAATGCAATGTTAACTTTTATGTTATTATGAGAAGTGTAAATATATTTAGGGTTTATCATGAAACTGTGGCAGGACCGATTAGACTGTGGTAGGTCATGTGTCTAGGTAAATTCATTGGAAAATAATTCTTAAGATATATTCTTTTTTCCCAGGAAAAATACCACAGTTTTGAACAACATAAGGGTGATGATTTATTTTTTTTTAACTGTTCCTTTAAGAGCAACACAACAAGTTCAGCTAAGATCATTATGTATGTTGATGTCAACTTTCAATTATCCTGATAATGGATGGTCATAGAACAGCAGCACTGAGAGAGAGACTATAAGCGGAACTAAGCAGTTTGTACAGGAAATGGAAGGGTGTCAAATCAGAGAAAAAGAGAGAGGGAATATGTGTTTGTTTGTGTCTAAGCAAGGGAGAGAAAGCATAAAGGACAGAAAGAGAGGAATGACGCTTGAGGACAAAATTTTCCAGCTGGACTCTCCTGTTAAATGAGCTGATGGTGTGTTTGTGTGTGTGTGTGTGTGTGTGTGTGTGTGTGTGTGTGTGTGTGTGTGTGTGTGTGTGTGATTCTGAGTCTTATTAAGTTATGCTAGCTTAGGGAACGTTAGAGAATGATACAAACAACAAAATGGTTGTTCAGCACCACTAGTTTTTGAATCTATATTAAAATATGTCAATACATTTAGCCGTAAATGGAACAGCTGTAGAATAGCATCAGAATATACAAACATGAAAATTCTACCCCTCTTGCATTGCTGAATTGTCCAACCTTTATGTATGAAATGCAAAATCACAATTTTTGAAGAACTGTACTGGACTGCGAAGCTTTTAATCATTAAAAAATTATGGCAAATCATGATAAGAGTCCAAGTCTTTTGAACCCATGAAGTGAATATAATTTTTTTTATGAAACTGGTTGATCTACTTCAAAAAGGGCCCTATTTTAACGATCTAAGCGCATGGTCTAAAGCGCACGGCGCAATTGCGCTTATGGTGTGTCCGAATCCACTTTTGCTAGTTTAAGGATGGGAAAAATGGTCGACGCGCCGAGCGCATGGTCTAAAAGAGTTGTCCCTATTCTCTTAATGAGTAATGGGTGTGTTTTGGGCGTAACGTGCCATAAACCAATCAGAGTCTCATCTCCCATTCCCTTTAAAAGCCAGTTGCGCTCGCACCATGGCGGATTCACTATTTACATGGCGGAATTTACAAGCGGAAAAACTGAACGCTTCTCTAGTGAGGGAACGGATCTGCTTGTGCGCGTAATTCTGATACATGCAAAGACTATCCATTATGACATGTAGGCATTTTTATATTTATGTACACAATAATAATCTTTTACATTTTAATCCTTTAATTTTTCATTTTAAAAAATGTTTGTGTGCTGCTGCGCATCCCTGTGTGTGTAATAAGCAAAGTGTACGCGCGTGTGAACCCGCCTATAGGCGCATATTACCAACGCGCTCTATAACAAAAATAAAAAAAATATTGTGCCAGACTTTAGACCAGGTTTTTGTTGGTCAAAGGCTGGTCTAACGTCTGGCGCAATATATATTTTTTTTTTTTTTTTTTTTTTTTTTTTTTTTATA